TTGAATGATGAACAATTTATGAAGAAGAGTTAGGGAAAATGAAAAGATTGTGTTAAATGCAAACATAAATGAATAATCAATGTTTATAGAAATTATAATGTGAAACTAAAAAAAAAAAAAAGAATGAATGAAAAAAAAGATAAATAAATTTCCAACTTTTAGGAGAAACCAAGTCATCAATCTTGGTTTCTCCTTTAATATATATATATATATATATATATATATATATATATTATTTAAATTACAAAAATGAAATCTTTTAACCATTAATGCGGTTGAAAATATTTTAAAATAAATAGAATTTGAAAAAAAGTTTCAACAATTGTATGTTGAAAACATTTTAATGTAAAATAAGAATGAGAAAATAAAAGATGAATATGAAAGATGGTTTTTCATTAAACTTGGTTTCTCAATATTCCATGAGGAGTAGTTGTTATCAACTAAACTCTAAAACAATTGTTAAAAACATATTGTTGGTTCTATTGGGAAAAAAAACTTAAGAAAAATGTAGAAGACATTAGTTAAAGAAAACCTCTAAAATCCTAACAAAATTAAGAAGAATTGCATACTCGGATTAATCGTCTCGAAATAAACCTGAAAAAAAAATATAACCATTAAAAAGGGCATGTTGAAGTTTGGTGATGCTACATGAAAAATTGTAACATAAAAACTTAAAAAATATCAATAAAAGTCAAAAGGAATACATACACACATTATTTTCTCAAAGTATACTTGAAAAAGATAACCATTAYAAAAATATGTTGAAATTTGTTGAGACTACTTCATGGTTTGTAATACTTTCAAGATTCTATCATTAGACGATTAATCGAACCATTGTTGCCATGAAAACTCTAAAAGTGTTGTAAAAAACAAACTCTCCGTTTCATTGAGAAAACTTAGAAAAATCGTAGAAGGGAAAAGTAAAAAAAAAAATCTAAAATCCCCAAAAAAAAAAAAGGAACACATACCTGAATTGGTCTTCTCGAAATAAACTTGAAAATAGATTTGGTGAAAAATAACAATTTATAAAATRAAAAACAAATCAAGTGATAGAGATGGAGAAAAATGAAATGAAAACAAATCAAGTGATGGAGATGGAAAAAAAAAGAGATTGAATGATGAACAATTTATGAAGAAGAGTTAGGGAAAAGATTGTGTTAAATGCAAACATAAATGATAATCAATGCTTATAGAAATTAGAATGTGAAATAAAAAATAAAAAAATTAAAGGAGGATGAATGAAAAAAAAGATAAATAAGTTTGCAACTCTTAGCAGAAGCCAAGTCATCAACCTTGGTTTTTTCTTTATTATATATATAGATATATAGATTGCGGATACTACTACAAGTTTCATAAAAAATTGAAATTTGATCCCTTCACTCTTGGTATTTATAAATGAGAACCCAAGTTTTGTTTTTTTTTTCAAAATAGGTTTTTCATACCTATCAAAACAACCAATATAAAATATCAAGAGTTATAAAATATCAATTATCACTAAAAAAATAATTTTATAGGATACCTAAAATATAGAAGTGTTCTAGAAAAATACTTTATAGGACTTACAATAATTATAGGATCAAACCAAAAAACGTTCTCACTAAAACTGTTGTAATAGATTTATAGGATGTTTTTTTTTGCATTTTAGGCGTTTTAGACATCTCATAAAGCGTAGTATTAACTATTTTATAGAACACTATTTGAAAAGATGTTATATAAACACAAATGTTCTACAACTAGACGGTTTTATAAGACAATTCTCAAAAGTGTCTTATAATAGGACACTTTATTTTAAAAACGTATTAATTAATAAGACACTTTATTTTAAAAACGTGTTAATTAACATGACACTTTATTTTTAAAAACGTGCTAATTCATGGGTTAGAAGAGTATGTATTAACGAATTGAGATCAAATTCCATAAAATATGTTATTGAGCTCGATTAGAAGACAAGATTAAAACAGTGTAACTGATTTTAGTAAACTAACAATCACTTTTAAGGAAGATTCAATTTAAGAATATCAAAACAATACATCAGTTTCTTATTATAATCACTATAACTAAATTAAGTTTATAGGACACCTAAAATGTAGAAGCGTTCTAAAAATATATTATAGGACTTAAGTTTATAGGACCAAACCAAAAAACGTCATATCTAAAAATGTTACAGTAGGTTCATATGACGTTTTTAATGCATTGTAACAATTTTTTATGACGGTTTTATAATAAAGTGTAGTATTAACTATTTTATATAACACTATTTGTAAACACAAATTTCTATAAAAAATATACACTTCTAAAAGATGTCCGATAAAATAGTCAATAAGACATTTTATCTTAAAGTGTCCTAAAGAACTTGTTAAAACGCCTAAAAACGTTCTATAAACCTATTGTAATGGTTTTAGATACGAAACTTTATATTTTGGTCCTATAAAACTAAGATCTATAATGTATGATGTCGTTTAAAGCCAATTTTTTTGTAGTGGAATGATGAACGCCATGAAAATTTCATATTATATATATTACGTATGTAAAACACAAGGAAGCTATGATTCTAAGAGTGTTTACTTTGAAATATTATCTTGGTCGCTTTTACCCTACTTTTTAATATACAAAATTTGGTTAAAAATCCATATATAACACTACATGTTTACATGACATATTTATAAAAAAATATTAGTTTTGGCCCCCTCAGTTATATGTCTCATGTTCCTCCCCTGAACAAAACCTTAAAGCAGAAGTCCTCACGTAATTCATAAATTTTGAAGTTCTCAAATAATTAAGTTATATTCAATTTTATTATGTCTCTGTCGATGTTATAATACGATTTTATGTGTTTTTAAGAAAGCAATAATGATTTTATTTTTGAATAA